GTTTTCTGCGAAACGATCTAGTGGGTTACCAGGGCACCAGCTTGAAGCACGAATTGGGACGTGGTGGTTCTTAGTCAGTAAGAATCTGACAGTACCAGAGGCCTTAGTGTGAGTTATGTATCTTGATCTCGCTTTGTATAGTCCTTCAGGTCAATCAACGATCTGTTTATACTGGCTGTATTTAGCTTGATAATTATAGTGTTAGTGTGTGTTTCCAATCACAAGTCAACAAGTCTTTCTAAGAATGTCTGAATTGTCTGATTCGAGTGCCGGTGTATCTGTTATCTTCACAACAGAAAATCTCAAATGTTAGTTTTACTGGTCATTTAGCTACTTACTTTGATAATGGACACTCCGAAGGCTGGGCTTCCACGAACACACAAAAACCGCTGTTATTGCTACGTATTAAAGTTGTTACGTCGTGTGAAACATTTTGGACATTATTTGTATCTGTCATTATTTTTTAAAGGAAGAATCATCTAATCGTTTCTCGCACCTTAGACTTTAGGTGGGAGGGACGGTCAAACCACTTCTGACTAAAGGCCACCCCATTCCTGCTCCTACTTCAGGGCAGAGACCTGGCAAGGGCAACCCTGTGGAGCCTGTAGAGATGAATGAAAAAGGTTCCATCTTGACTCTTATATTAAAAAAGTTTCATTGTCACAATCCTGTTATTCAATTCTATTTCTCATTATGTTATGGTTTTGTCATCATTTAGTTTTAATCATAGAAAGAGAACGTAAGAATAAAGGTACTTTTAGCCCCGAAAGAGTAGTCAGAGGTGCACATTACGGCACTTAATGCCACTGTACAATGTAACACCCACTTTGCACTATTTATGTTATGAGTCTCATGTAATAGGGGGTGAGCCTATTGCCATATACCGGGCACATTCACAACAGCCAAAGAGGCGGTCTAGATACTGTTACGCGTGCTCTATAAGGCGTTCTATTTAGCAAGCTCAAAAATATTCAAAAATCGAATGCCTGTCAATTCACAAGCATGCCTGAAATGAGCATGCTTTCCGACACACAAGTATTAAGTGACAAGTGCTCAATTGAAGCAAGCTTTCGTGCTTAAATTAGCATGTCTAACAGTATCTTAAGAAAAGTAATTTATGTAGATACTAGACGAGAATAACAAATCTAGACATGGTTCCTACCGGGTATTTATATTTAGGTACACACGACATATCGAACTATACATATCCAGTTTATCATGACCTCACTTCGTATGATCTTTCCGTACATCCGACGGCAAGTTTATACTGGTTCTATAACTGTGAGTACAAATCTGTCAAGACAAGAAATATACTTCGAATCGTATGACGGTTGTGAATTCGTGTGTGTCCATGTGTAGCCACTAGCTGAAGTCTAATTGGTCCACGTCATTGACTGTCAAAGGCTTAAAGTTCTGTGTTCGCATGAAAATTTGTTAGAAGAGAAATTGGCAGCACTGTCGCTGTGTATCTACCGGTTACTGGAAGCCCAATTACCTCCTTTCTCCAATCCCCGAATCCCCAACTAAACGATCCTCATATTCATAATTTCCAAAACGCCGGCAACGCACTTGTAACGCCTCTGGTGTTTCGGGTGTCCTTTGGTGAAGCCGATTGCTTGCCATTAAGTGACCCGTCTGCTCTACCGGCTTTTTGCATTAAAAAAAATATTGATATTTGATTTAGATCTAGAAATTTGATCAGATTGAATCTTATTGAAAGAGTACTAAAAAGTTGATACATTATCACCTGCCACCCATGTTCCATGTCGCTATAATTTCAGCAACAGTTTGAAAATTTTATAGGACAAATAATAAAATCGAGCTGAATTCTATAACGACTATTACGACCATGTTAAAAGTATGAAAGCCATGTGAAGAGAAAAATACGATATAGTAAGATAAATCTAAATATTACTATACGATTTTACATTCTTTGAATTATAATCTTAGATATTAATAAAATTGCATTAGCATAACATAACATCACGCCTTTATTCCCGAAGGGGTAGGCATAGCACGTTACGGTATTTACTGCCATTGTACAATGTAACACCCACTTCTCACTATCAATTTATGGTATGAGTCCCATGTTATAGGGAGTGAGCCTATTGCCATAACCCAGTAATACTTTGCCCGACCCGGGAATCGAGAGCCCTTGCGCGGCAGTCACTCAGCCAACAAGGCAATTGCAGTAGCTAAGCATTTATAGTGATACAAACGAAGAAAATTTCAGCTCAATCGATTGCAATGCTCATAAACATACGTACACCGAAGTGCAGGAGAAGGAACGGTTTTTTGTAAAAAATAAACGTTGCCCCACACTAGGATTGTCTCCTGTGTCGTGGGTGCGTTTACAAACATACAATATCACATACACGTGACACCCAGACCCGGAACAACAATCTGTGGATCACACAAAGAGTTGTTCCGTGCAGGAATCGAACCCGCGACACGTTGCACGGCAGCCGGTTGCCCAGCCACCGCACCAACCGTGCTGTCAATGTAAAAAGTTTTTACTCAGTAAGAGTCTGACATTCCCTCCCGTCTCACCCAAGCGGGAGCAGTCATTCGATGATTTTCCCCCTTAAAAAAAAGACACTAAGTTAAATAAAAGCTTTAAAAAGTAAAAATAGTATTTTATATAAAAATTATACCCATGACTTTCACTTGGACAAGAGAGCAGCATCTTGTCGACAGCTGCGGACAATTTACAAATGTCCTAAGGACCTAAGACATACACAATAACTCCATTTCTCAGGCTAGACATAAATCCGTTGGACTTGCCCACAAATCGTACCGCCCCACTGCTGGCCGGACGACATATCGGCCAGTAAATCGTTTCCTTAACTTAACGAATAGGTACATGGGACTCCTTGGACTGTCGATATTTTGTCGGAAATTGGTCATGTGACGAATACCAATACGGTAGTTGACTACTAGTCAAATTCAATACTTTTATCGAAACGTCAAAAACGATACTGTTCTATGAATTTTGTACGAAATACTAGCTTATGACGTCATCATATTTTCGCGTCAAATAGCACACTTATATCTGAAGAAAATGCAAGAATAAATCGATAATTAAGTATATCGGCAAATCAATGAATGAAAGTGTATCTATTTTTCAATATTTAATTGAATTGAAAAATCAAAATAATTTATTTTTGACCCAGGCAACTACCCAATTGAACATGTTAACTAAAAATCGCGTGAATATATCGCCGACATCGCCGCGACCGCGCACGCTGCTGCTCATGAGGAAGAACCCCTCTGTGGTTCGAAAGTAGTAGAGCGTTTCTCAGTAGAGGTATATTCACGTGAGTAACCCGCGATTTTTAGTTAATTTAGTATGTTTCACAATAGTTATTATGATGAAGTCGGTAATAAAAACAATTGAAAACATCTTCATTTTTCATTACAAACAAAGACTTTTTAAATATCCTCAAAAGTAGTATAGAGTGTTACCCCCCATTCACCCATTGCCCCTATTACACGGGAGTCTATGATAACAGATGAAAGGAGGGTGTTACATTTTACATACCTACTTATATGTATGTTGACTGCCTCGTTGGCCCGGTCACAAGTGCGACTGCCAGTCAAGGGGTCTCGGGTTCGATTCCCGGGTCAAGCAAAATGTTACTGAGTTTTTATAAAAATCTCAGTAGCAGCACGGAGTCTGGAATTGTGCCCGGTATACGGCAATAGGCTCACCCCCTATTACATGGGACTCTTAACATAAATAGTGAAGAGTTGGTGTTACATTGTAAAGGGGCATTAAGTGCCGTAATGTGCACCTCTGCCTACCCCTTCAGGGATAAAAGGCGTGATGTTATGTTATGTTATAAGATTAAATAATTTTAACCAATATTTTCTCCTCCGAATGATTCGAATAGCAACTAAACTACACACCTGTGCAGATATCAGATACTACCTAAGTATCATAGTTTTCTATTTTTATTCGGAGGAGTGCGAAGTAATGTCTGAGAGGGGGAGGGAAGTAGGAGGAATCCTCGTAACTGTTCAATTAACAAAGAAATTGATGGCGGAATGTTTGTACCGTATTTTATTTTAAGTGTCCAAGTTTACGCGTAATTTGAGGCAGTTGGCTCTTGTATTTTGTGGGGTTTTTTTGCTTGTTAGTGTATGTAGGTGTAAGAGATTTTGTTGGGTTTTAACTTTTAATTCATTCTTGAATCTTCATCATGATGATAAATCATCATTATACCACAAAACATAATTCTTCCTTGCGTGGCTCTTTATAAGAACCACTAATCCCAATATTTGAAACTGAACAAACAGTTGTGTCCAACATAAAAATGGTATAGTCTACCTGATTAAAACTTCTCAATCCTGTTTACTAAACCCATAAACCGCTTCACGGATCGGAAAAGTTTCTCCGAACAGTTAAATTTAATATCGCGAGATAAACCGCTGATTAAAATTTTAACGCCTGGAAGAAAACTCATAGCATTTAATTACAAACGAACAACTAAAGTCGTTTTATTTTTATTGGAACAGGTACACAACACAAATAAAAATAAATTACGTTACATAAACGTAAAATAATACTCGTTTTATTCATACTATAATTAATTATTATTGTTTGTGGATTATTTTTTGTAACTATATCAATATTTCTGGATTTGTGTTGGTAAATAAACATAAAGCTACAAGAGCGCGAAACAAACAAAACAGTGTTGCCATTTCATTATTTCCAAAGAACCATTTTCTAGAATTTTCTACTGGTAGTATAATAATAATTTTATATGAGGGGCGATTCTGCAATATGTTTACTCGAAAACACTCGTTCGGGTACAGCGCAGACCACAATAAAGTCTACACTGTGACCAAACGGAGTAACAACAAAGTAAGGCAAACGTTTGTGGGCCACTCTGAACGCATCCGAAAGAAATATGCCGTATTTCTAGCAATCTGGCACCGTTCCAACCACACGCTTCTTAAGTTTATTTTGAGTTTCGTGTCCAGTTGACGGCGTTAACCTAATCGATCCACGAAATTTAATTTGCACCAATTTATCTGGATTGTAACAAAAATATCCTGTGTGATTCAAATTCAGTAGCTAAGTTTTTGAAATTTGAAGTGACCAGTGCGTGCTAATGTCCCTAGTTTCGACAAATGTATATTTGTCTGATCACATAAAATGTAAGTACCTACGTAGTCTGTGTGCCTATTTTGAAGTATTTTGTTTGATACTAACATGTTGTTTGATACAAATTATTGATAGTTTCATAATGACTAAACTTATATTAAATTTTGTAATAGATTGACTTTGAGAACAATTTGAAAGACTCAAATGTTATTGAGAGTTAATAAGTAGAACTTTGTAAACAATATACAAGATTGTTTTCAATTTGATATAGCGTGCAACAGAGTAGCTAATATTTGAAGTTTATTACTCTGATACAAATTAATGAGTTCATAATTATGTATTTTTTGAAGAAGTTGATTTTTCTTTTATAAAATGAATCTTTTATCAAAATTAAATACTGATTTATATTAATTATTTGTTTTTCGGGTTACTCGCGTAATTATTTGACGACCTCATAGGCCTTACCTCATAGGCTCATATTTACGAGCAGCATTCCGACCTGTGACGCGGCGACTGTCGCGCTGCTACTGAAACTGATCGAGTTCCTCGTCAAATAATTGCGTGAGTACCCGACCCGAAAAACGTAATAGCTGATTTATATTCATAAGCTTTTATTTAAGTTTATATTTAATTAAGTACTTATAATTAGTTGGCCTCTGCCTCGTTGGCTGAGTGGTCGCTAGTGCAACTGCCGAGCAAGCAAGGGGTTCGATTCCCGGGTCGGGCAAAGTATTACTGGGTTTTTAAAATAATTCTCAGTAGTAGCACGGAGTCTAAAAATTTGCCCGGTGTATGGCAATAGGCTCACCTCCTATTACATGGGACTCGTAACATAAATAGTGAAAAGTGGGTGTTACATTGTACAGTAGCATTAATTGCCGTAATATGCCTCTGTGTACCCCTTCAGGGATAAAAAGCGTGTTGTTATGTAATTATATACTTATAATTAGCATGAATAAAATTTTTCGGAAGATGTTTTTATGATTTTCTTCTTTTTAAGGTACTACATACCATATTATATAGTTTTACTGGTATCTTTTGGATATGTAACTGGGCAACCGGGAAGATGTGATCAGACCCCTCTTCAAGCGAAGGTGCTGGAGCCTTCCAAAGATACAGGCATATTTCGACTGGATATACAGAACACACCAGGACGAGCTGAAAAAACTTACTACTCCCCAGACCAAACTTATGTCCGTAAGTACTTTTTTAAGTATTATTTATCAATAAGTATTAGAATAGTTTAAAAAGTATGATACTTGCTAAAAAAAATTGAGGCATTGGGTTTGATAAAAATGTTGTAGTGCTTACATACCTTTAGATATTATTTCTGAAAATACTGTTTACCTAACATTAATATTTACAGTTTTGTTTTACACAATACTTCTTACTTCATTAACAAAATTGAAATAAACGATTCCCATTAAATAACCTACATTATTTTAAAACAATGCAATTAAATGCAGATATAAAATGAATTGCTAACACAATTTTGTTAGGCGCACAGAATTAATATGTATTGTATTGAATTGTATTGTATTAATCATTGTTATTATTTAAATTTTTTACTTTATATGATGTTTGTTACTTTGTCATACAGTTTTTTTTTGTTTTATATGTTGATAATCATGCCGATACTAAATAAATACATTTTTTTCTTTCTTTCAAATTGAAGATGTCTAATTGAAAGATAAATTATTCAATCTTTATTACTAGTATATAAAGCTACAGAGTTTGTTTATTTGTTTTAACGCGCTATTCTTTATGTTTCAGTAACAATACGTACGACGGTCCCTGAGAAAACGTTCAAATGGTTCATGATAACGGCTGAAGATCCCGAGGTGGACAATAATATCTTCGAGTTCAGTCATAAGAACATAGATGTTGGAACTTTGAAAACTCTGGACATTAATAAATCTCGTTACAGTGAGAGATGTTCAAGTTCCGTCGAAAATGCTGATAATTCTTTCAAGAGTGACGTAGAGGTATTTATACAAATATTGAGTCCATCAATACGATCACAATGGAAACCAATGTGATGCGAGGCTTACCTAGAGTTTTACTTTGTTCACTGGAGGCCGGAGGGTAAAACACCCTCCCCAAAACGCTGGAAACGCACACGCGACTCCGTCAGTACTGTGGATGTCCATGGGCCTGCTCAGACCGCGGATAACTTACCACCAGGTGGTCTGTATGTTCGTTTTTCCCCATATCCTAACTTCAAATCAGCAATTGTACCGGAATACTTGGCTTTTATCGAATTATGCTACGGAGGTAATATCGGGCAGTACCTATGCTAGTACCCACATACATATCTAGGTCAAACTACAAAAGGAATGTATAAGAATTTTGGCAAACATCTACGGAGTGAATAGTTGCCGGCCAGTCTTTACTTAGATTTTGATTTCAACTAACAATGTTATATACAAAATAGTAAATTACGATAGTCTCTGGACATCGGCAAAACTTAAAAAAGTTGCCGCTCGTTTTCCTAACCTCCTTCGACACAGTTTACATTTTTTCAAACCTATGTTAACCTGAATTTAGTTATGTAAATAGTACTTCTGTAGAAGTTATTTAGCAATAGGTAGACCACCCCTACCTACTCCTTTTTATTATGTGCCCTTTTACATGGTGAAAATAGGGTGTAACATCGCATATGTAGGTACAGGACCTGCCTGTCCCCTAATAAAATAAAGGCTTAACAATTTGAACATTTCTTTATCAGATCCACTGGGTATCACCAAAGCAAAGTTCTAAAAATCAAACAGTGCGGATCCGGGCCATGGTTGCTGAGAACGATGAAGTATGGTACACAGGAGACAACCTTACTGTTGTGCTGTACAAAAACACTGACAAAGCCCTCGATAGTCCGCCTTTTCCTCCATCGAAACATTGCAACCTTTGCAGCGAAGCTAGGTACGAGGTCAGTATAAAAGAAAGTAATTCTTCTATATTCACCCCCTATTACATGGGACTCATAACATAAATAGTGAAAAATGGGTGTTACATTGTACAGTGGCATTAAGTGCCGTTATGTGCACCTCTGGCTACCCCTTCGGTGATAAAAGGCGTGATGTTATGTTATGTTCTTCTATAAACTACGTTTAAAAAACCGACTTCAATGCCCTCTTTTTAAATCGGTTTATTAGTATACTAAAACCTTCTCCTAAGTATAACAAACACCTTTTTTAAAACCGCTTCTAAATCGGTTGAGCCAATCGCGAGATAGACGCGCACAAACATACATACAGGTCCTGTTCAAACTGAGAACATCTTTTTATTTTTTTTAAGTCGGTTAAAAAGAATCAGAGGAAAAGAGACGTACCGAAATATACCGGTTTTCATTTCATACCCAAAAATAACGGTACCGAAATTAAATTTCGATACCGAAATTAAGCGGTAACCTTTATTTAACGGTATGACGTCATACCGCAATTTAAAGGTATCGTAATTTTTCGGTTATTCAGTCCCTGGTAAGAATAATTGAGAATCGAAGAAAGTACAAACTTACTTTTATTCGGCGTCAATCAATCGCTGGATTATGTATTATTTTGTTCACTAATATCATTTTAAAATCTCATTATAAGTACCTAATTTCAAAATCTCATCATTTTCAAATGTGTTACCTACCTACAAAATACGTTAGAAACTAAGAATAATAATAACAATTACATTTTAACAAATAATTTCGCCTAACGAACACAAATAAAACTCAGCTAAATTGGACAGCACATTGTGTTTGTACAGTGGTGCCTGTCAAAATAGACAGAGCAAAACACAGTAATTGTGCAATGTAGATTCACAATAGTTGCAGGTACCAAACGAGCCACTTTGTACTACGAATTGGAAGCCATTTATACATCTCAACCTTCCGTTTATCTAGATGTGAACCTACACAGGATCCTTTGAGTGTATTTTTCAAGTAACATTCAGTTTGTTTCCGTTTAGAATGAAACTGTTATTGTGTTCAACTGTTTTGTAAAGTTCAAGTTAAAAGGACGATACTGGTGAAACTTTGATCATTAATTCACTCAATTATGCATACGTGCTTACTACAATTTTCACATTTTTTGCAATTTTTAATAGAATTACTAAGAATTTCAAAATGAGTGAATTCTCATTACAGCAATTTAAACCATAAAAAGAGAAAATATTTATAAAATTCGCATTCAACAGTCTTGTTTATTGAATTCCGATACCCGACTCCGGTTCTATATATGTATTTTAAAATTTTAATTAAATAATAAAACATGATAAATGTATTTACACTTTAACCTATAGATATCAGTTACCAAAAATATCTGTATTTATAACTATAATTGATAAAAAAGTGAAATAAAAAAACGATTTAATCACATATTTTCGCAGGTGATATTCTATGGAAAATGGTCACGCGTGGCTCATCCACGTCACTACCCGAGCAAGCCAGACGACAATGGATATAGCCACATGGTCGGCTGTTCACACGTATACAACTACTCTTTATGGCAGCAAGGAATCAATGCTAGCGATGGATTGAAGATATTAGCAGAAACTGCTGACAGTTCTGTGCTTGAAAGAGAAATTATCTCACAGGTAAATGTAATCGCTGTATACTTCTAAGTTACAATGTGTCCTACTCGTACAAAGTCAAAAACGTCTGAGTTATGAGTCGCAGCAAACTTAAAAGAAATTTTTAATCAATGAGCAATTTTTTTCGAATACACCTGGTACATGATTCTATAAAATAGTTTACTAAAAATTGGTACTCATTTCTAGATTGAACTAAGAACTTGTAAAGCGATCCAGTAATTTATTATCTTACTGAACATTTTTAGTAAATTTAAAATTTTAATGGATCCATCAATTTAAAAAACATGTAGATTAGAATGTAATTTGTTAATGTTTTAGTGTGAGAAAGTAATTGAACGTCTGCTTCTTTGACCTAGTCTAATCTGGTCACCACAAACGTGATTGCTGAGCTAAAGGTCATACAAGTAACCACCAGATCACTTTATTGGTTGACCTTTTCAAGTCCGAAAAACATCTAAAATTTCACATTGGAACGAAAGGAACTACTGTATAAAATAGTCGAATTCCAACCGCCCACAGACATTTTCCATCAATAAACTTGATATTGGAAATTGAAATCAATTAAACGCCCATTAAAGTGGCTAATCAGTTAAAAAATCATTCTTCATTTCAGATGAGTGAAAGATCAGGCACCAGAACGCTCATTAGAGGAAAGAGACGCCATCATCCTTATATGTCAGAACCCTCTCATGCTCTCTTCAGGGTCGATAGGTTCCACCATCTGTTCTCCATTGCTGTGGGCATGAGACCTTCACCGGACTGGTTTCTAGGCACTTCCAAGTTTGAGCTGTGCACCGATGAGGGTTGGCTGGAAGAAGAAGAGATTCCTTTGTACCCATGGGATGCTGGCACTATGGATGGGATTTCTTATGAGGTAAGTCGTGTGAAGTAGTTTTCTATGATGACATTTACCGTTGCCTAAGTATACCTGCAAAGTGCAACGTCAGACGTATCACTAACACGTTGTAGACCATTTAGGAAAAAAAATATGGGCAACGTATTTTTTTTAATCTATCTTTTATTAAGCGTCTTCAAAAAGGGAGGTTCTCAATTCGACAGTATTTATGCTTTTTTATGTTTATTCGCCGATATCTCCGTTATTTATGAACCGATTTCGATAATTATTTTTTTGTTGGAAAGGAGATAGTCCCAGAATCGTTCCATGATAAGGAAATCAGGATCTGATGATGCAAGATCAGGGAATGAAAATAACTATTATTGGTCATACGTACTTATGGCTTACATACCTACTGATTGGTTAGAAGTCAGTGCCACAAACCAATAACAAAATGTAACAGCTGGTACAATCCATAATAAAATTGTAATCAGTTTAATAATGTTAGGCATCTATTAAGGGCTTAATGAATAATTTTGTTTATATATTTCAGTCCCAACCAACAGTCTCCACTCCCAGGGACAACGTGGAGAGGGTAGAAGTGGGCTCCTTTAACGTGGACTCTCCCTTCTATCAGATAAATTTGAACGATTTACCACCATTCGCCAAGCTGAAGGTCAGGAGACTAGATGTGTTCCCGCTGATTGGAGCTGAATGTAGCGAGGAGGCTGCAGGTTTGTTAAAATAATATAAGGAAGAAGAAAGCTTTCAAACTACTGAACCGATTTAAAAAATATTTGACCATAGGAAGCTTACGTTTCAAGGAGTAATGAAATTTTTTTTATTTCCACGGGAACGGAACTTGATCCGGAATTGGGATGATGACAGGGTATGAAAATTAAAAATATAATTAGTCCGTCAGTTAGGTAATGAAAAAATATTAGACACGTATTTTTTTATTTTGTCGTATAATAAAACAATACTTAGATAAAACGAATCAAAGTTTAGGAGTGGGGGCTAAAACGTCATTTCTACCTATAAAATGTACATAGAAGTGACGTCACGCGACATTTCAAATCAATATATCGTCAAAAGTATTAGTTTCTGTAAGAAAATAAAAAATACGTGTCTAATGATTTAAAATAATCTACCAGACGGACATTGAAATAAAAATTAGGCATCTACCCTATTCCCATAGTAGTTCTATGACGGGGCCACATTCTACATTAGCTCCTATTAGTACACGATGCCTATATAACCAGAATTGATATCAATCAATTACCAATGTATAGTGTAATCATATTAATCAGCCGTTTTCTATTCTAGAAAAAGAGGAAGAAGAGAAGCTTGAGGAGAAAGAGGAAGATGCGGAAGAGGAGTAAGTCTTTTTATAACTCAGTAAATACACCAAGTAGTACTTACATTTGTTGTCATAGTCATCAGCATAAACAACCCACAAAACAGCTAAGCTATGGGCCTCTTCTACATACCTAAAAAGAGGATACAGCATTTAGCATAATAGTAACATCATAACATCACGCCTTTTATCCCCGAAGGGGGAGGCAGAGGTGCACATTATGCCACTGTACAATGTAACACCCACTTTTCACTATTTATGTTATGAGCCCCATGTAATAGGGAGTGAGCCTTTTGCCATGTACCGGGCTTAATTCCAGACTTCGTGCTACTACTGAGATTTTTTTTTAAAAACCCAGTATTACTTTTAGCATAATAGTCAGTAGATTATAATATGTAGATATAAACTAATCATCATCCTGAGCCCGTGTTCGCGCACTGCTTGACACAGCCTGCACCGTCTTCAGCTCTTCTCAATCTTCTCATCCAAACACTGCCAGTCACCTTGCGGATGTCGTCACTCCACCTACATTTTCTCATGTACCACGGACTACGGCATCCCGTCTCACGATGCGTTTATAAACACAAATACCACAACACATTACACCCACGAAACAACAATTTGTGGGAGACACAATTAATCATGAGACTAATGTCCGTTTTCCTAACTTCTTCTAAATTTAAAGGAACCCCTAAACTACGATACGTGACACTTAACGACATTTTCGTCTTCACAAACCTATAAGTGACCCCTAACAGTACAAGTGAAGAGTTAGTTTAGATGCACCTTTAGTTAAGAGATGGTGTAGAAGTGGTTGCTGAAAACGGGCATAAAAAAATTTTCTTAGGTAGGCCTTTGTCCAGCAGTAATTTATTATCACCAACTGCTAAAACCACATAATCTTTCAGGGTACAAGAAGAACCAGTGGTGGGTGAGGTCAAGCAGAGCTTTGCTCATGAAGATAGGTGTTCCAGAAGTGAGTGGGGTGCCTGGTCTCCTTGTAATCCCAACAATGGCAATTGTGGCGCTGGCTTCAGATCAAGAACTCGGCGTCCATTGGAAAAGAACATTTATAATGAAAATTATGATGTAAGTTATATAAAATTTCATCATCATCATAACATCACGCCTTTTATGTAGGCAGAGGTGCAAATTATCTACGGCACTTAATGCCACTGAACAATGTGCCACCCACTTTTCACTATTTATGTTATGAGTAGGTATCAATATAGGGAGTGAGTCTATTGCCATATACCGGGCACAATTAAAAACCAAATAATTCTTTGCCTGACCCGGGAATCGAACCCGAGGCCCCGCGGCAGTCGCACTTGCGACGATAACACTTTTTGAGGTAACTAGAGGTGCACAGCCCATTAGTAACAGTTTTCGCAAGATATAAGTCCCATGTGTGTAGTAGGGTGCTTGTGTGTGTATATTGTTTATTGTATTGCTTGTGTATATTGTATTGCATGTGTAGGTATATTGTATGGCTTTAAGGCACCGTTCCACTGCATAGGTTTCCTCACCGCATACGTACTACAACTGAATATAGTCGAAATACCCGAAATGATCAAATAGTCGTAAAACTTTCTTATATTTCACACTGAGAACCCCTCTGTCAGCAGTCATCCTTGCAACTACTAGATCACTGGATCTAGAAGTTGCAAGGACTGCTTGGTACCTCAGTAGGTACCAAGATCTAGAATATTCTAGAATGTTCTAGAAAAATTGTATAGAATTAAATCTTAACTGTATAATTAATTTATCGGTCAATTAAATAGTGCATCAGCATGTCCATTCTAAAACAAGTATTCTAGTAGATAGATTATAATTCTTACCATAGATGAAATAAAGAAGTTGTTGTCGATATTTCAGTTGGTTCTGTTTTTAATATTTCTTTGAATCTTACTAACACCTATACCTTATTATTTATGTTTTCTTAGTGTGCATTTAGTTGGTTGTTAAAATAAATAGTTCAAAGTAGGTACTACTGCAGATCACAAGGTCTTAGGCTTGGGCCTCGACTCTGCCAGGGTCGAGGGAGATTACTGGATAGAAACAACAGAATGTCTAATAACTATAGCATGATAAATTAATTAGGATAAAAGGTAGGTAAATAGTTTTTAGTCACACTATACTAAGTATAAATTGTTAAACATCTGAGATAACATGTAATTATAATTAGCTATAATTTTCGTAATAACACGCAGTTCATTCAATTCAATTGTAAATAATTAGAACATTCTTCCATTGTTTCAGTATCAAGATAATGTACAAGTGCAGCCGCTGAGCAGAAACTGTGAAGATCAAGATACTAAGTCTGTTGAATACCAGGATTGTTTTATCGACTGTTATTAGAACGGGCGCATAATAAAATTGCTAGCTATATCGATAGACGGGTATTTTATTTCTGTACCTGGAGCGACTGGGTGTGTATTGGTACTGGAAACTGGTTCGGCTCGAGGAGAGATTCTGTCTTCTCGTTTTTGCGCGAAAATAACCAGTTGGCCAGTTTTGCCGGCCGGCCGGCGACGATGGAAAGGCGCGGGGTGATTCAGCGCGCGGACGGCAGGGGGCACCAGTGTCAACATTGTTTGGGCTTGTCGAGTGTGAACATAGGCACGGATAGCGCATGCTCCGAGCGCAACGGCCCGCCTCGCGAGTCGCGCGCGATCGCAACTTGTTGATTGTTCACTCACTTCACGCTAGTTGAGTCGCGAACGATGCGCCGGGTGGTCGTGTCTCGCGTACGCATCGTTATCGCTCCGAACTTCGAAATTGTTTTACGAAAATATGTGAAGTTTCTAAATTCAAAATTGTGCAGAACTACCGTGTCGAACGTGTTTAATTGTGATCAGTCCATGTAAAACGTTATAAATAAGTAGTTTTAAGTCATTGAAACTTAATAGGCTTACTCGTTTTACCTGCATGCCTCGTCCCACGTCTGAGCGGTTACCTACCTTATCGGATAAACGAACATTTTTCAAATGGATGTGCGTTTGAAATCTGTGATAGTGTGCGTGTTATGTGTTATAAAACTTCGTGAGAGCGTTGTAGGAGATTGTGACAAGTTTTTACTATAGTGACGTGCTCGGAGTAGTGATACGAAAAAGTTGAATTACCTCAAGTCAAGAATGATGTTCATGCGCGGGAGTGAGGGGGGCATCCTCGCCGCGTTGTTGCTCTATTCGCTAGCGGTGGCGTCGGCGCAATACACAAAAGGTAAAAACTGCTTTCTTACCTGTGCACACGCAGCCCTACGTTTGTCGTGGTGCTTTGTTCTATTGCCTTTTGTTCGCTTCTTGGAGCGTCTTTTGAATTTTTAAATTGAGTGCCTAAATGACGTCATAAACAAGTTCGTACTCCTTTCTCGCTAGTTCTTGTGCTGTGTGTGGATGTGGAACTTGATGGCTGATGTAGGTAGACCGGGGAGGTATTTTCCCGGATGTCAAGTAGACATTTGACATTGCATTTTACTGAATGAAGTGTTTGTTCCATCTTTCTAAGTAAAAGCCGAATGACTAAGTAAAATGACTGGTTCTGACAAGCGTTTGATAACGGAATTTTACGATAAGACCCGGCCGCCACACCTATCAATAAATTCTTACCTATAGTAAGTAGGTAGGTACTTTGATACCTTTGCTACAAATAATAATAAAGATTGATAATTTTAACTAGAAGCAAAGATAATTTCGGTAAATATCTAACTTGACGGCGCTATCTTTATCAATAAATAAATAAACCTAACCAAGAATTTGTGTAAGGATACTGTAAATTCTCACATTTAATCGAGTTATGAAGTTAAAGAAAATAAATAGTCTGATGAGAATAACAAAAAGAAAATATCTATTTCTAATGGTTTTCGTCGTCCCATGTTTTAATAGGTAGGCTGTATAGTTTACTTACTTGGTGCAACGATGCGTGAATGCCTGGGTAATGGACAGGATTTGACATACCCAGTACATAAGTGACACATAGTTTACGAAGTTAAAGAAAATAAATAGTCTGATGAGAATAACAAAAAGAAAATATCTATTTCTAATGGTTTTCGTCGTCCCATGTTTTAATAGGTACCTAGGCTGTATAGTTTACTTACTTGGTGCAACGATGCGTGAATGCCTGGGTAATGGACAGGATTTGACATACCCAGTACATAAGTGACACATAGTTTACGATAATAAAAATGAAAAGACACGATTCGCGTCCATCCATATCGCAATATCAAATGGTTGTCTTTTAATCGGCCAATCAAATGCGTTGACCACAGATATAAAATGATCTAGAAATTGGCGGCAAATTTTCGAGATAAAAATGGAATTGATTTCTATGTAACGGGCCTAACCGTAAGTAATAAACTATACTATTGGTAGGTACCAATAAAAGTAGTTTGAGTAGTTAATTTCGCTTCCAAAAACTAAGAATTATGACTAAATGAATGAGTCATAGCGCTCAGGAAGTTGTGCAATCTATAAAAAAAGTTAATTAAAACTATAGCAACCAAGTGACTTGCTTCATCATAGATTATCTACCGAGCAACTTATACATCAACCTATTTGTCATTCTAAAAACTAATCTTGGAATGTAAAATTAGCTATTGGAATAAAATTACAATAAAAAAAAAAAAGACTTTTTATTGGTTAAAATACATACGCTACCCTAGGCAGACAGATTAATGTTAAAAACCTCTTTGATTAGCACTCCATATTAATTATCTGTATGTATCCATAACCTAGTATCTAGTTGCTTATTACGTTAACGGCTACGATTGAAGAACTTGTATCAAGAAAATAGGTACCTACCTATTAGATTTTTTTTGTAATAAACATACGTGACAAGGTACCTATCTAGATGTCGTTTATGTACAAACACGCACAGTTATTAGTTAACTACTCAAATATAGTTACAAAGGGTAATTAACAGTTCGTTAAAAATAAACCTGCCTGTAACTAACTTTATTTACTATTTCACCGCTTCCGAGTTAGCTTCTATCAGGTAACTTTTTAACAGATAATCTGATACATACGTCAAATTACCCGCCATTTAGACTAAACTTCACCACGGTGAAACAAAACACCAACACTTTAAAATATGGAAGACAATACAAGATTGTTTCTTTTTTATCCAGCAATTTACGTAAAAGGTACGTCAGATAATTATTTAACTAATAAAATACCTAGGTATTTTATGAAGAGGTCAACCATTACTTGGAAACTTAGATCATCGATAAAGTCATTTGTCTGCGTGAAAGGCGATCGTGACTAGACTGTAGGTACCTAGTGACTAGTGACTCCATTGTTGCTTTGAATTGCTATGCTAGGAGACTGAAAGTCCCCTTCATATGTCTGACCTAGATGCCCATGTATTCGTGCCCGGAAAGCCTTTTATTCCGGCATTGTCTATAAAATCACCTTCGTGTGATCTTTTACTGTCCTTCTATATCTATTGTAGGTAACTATGCACACAACCCTTTGCGTACCTATATTATTTTCATCGTAGATAACATTAAATAGGAACTTCACTATTGTGGCAAGATTATCCAGCTGGGGATTATTTTTTACTATAGCAACTCTTTCAAAGAGGTTTTATTTAACGATTCGTTGTCGCAGGTATGAACAACGTACGTATCTATTAATGCGATTCAGAAAAACGATCCTTTCATTTCGTTTTACAGTATTCAGCGATGGTTTTTAAAGTAAATGAATATTTATTTTAAAAACGAATACATAATAATGTCATGTTTCGTATTGAGGAAGTCTATGCAAATCAAAGAAGTAAATAAATAAGTAGTTATATTGAAGTCCCTACCAACTTATGGACTCTCAATTTTGTCTGTCGGTTTAATTATTCCATATTGAAATTAATATTTAGTAAGTATTGCTATCATTTTCTATGAATACTCATTAAGTCGACGCTAGTATTAGGTACCTCAATTGCTTAGCGGCCATTTTCAAACCTGTTAGGTACATGGATTAGGTGAAAATGGATGAGATGCTCAAAATTTTGTCTCTAATATACAAATACGTTATACATATTAATTTAATATTATATTGAAGTTACTAATTGATAGATACATAAGCTTCACACCTCGGTGAAAGATAATGCCTAAGTATGTACCTAGGTGAAACTCAGCACGGAATTTAGATTATTTCTCTACTACTGAGAATTACAAAATTGAAAACCCAACAGCATTAATTTAACCCTACACGCCCGGTATCTAAACCACACTAAAGCCAAAGGATGCCAAAACACTAAACAGCTACAAACTTAACCTTTTTCGTAAAAAAAAGGCGCTCGATTTTCTTTTTTATATTGTCTATGGTCGTTTGATTGCCAGTAACACAAACAAGGTTATGACCAAGTAGGTCCAACTACTTATTATGTACTAGACTTAGCATAGAGTTACTCAGGCCATACTGAGAACAATGGCCAGTCCCAGCGGAGTGCAAACCCACGACTCGTTCAGCTACAAGTATCTAAAGTACCTACTAACCGTTCCTTAGTAAACCGGTATAACTGAGTCCTTAACTTGAAACTCAACTCGATATTTACATTGAAATGTTTTGCAAGCTTTCATTATGTTAGTGAAGTGTATGTATTTTAGCTAGTTCTGTTTAATTGTGTTGTGTTGATTTTGAATCAACTGCCTTCCGCAACAAATCGCTATTTGCTATCCAATTCATAAATAGATATTTCTAATATTTCTGTGTTCTGAACCTTCTTGGAAACATAACCTTAGTTAATAAAACACTTACGTGTTTTATAAACTTAAGTTTAGTAGGTTCTTAGTTAATTAATTAATCAATACGGTGAAAAAATGTTTCAAGTCAATCTAAAAATACTACGTTGACCTTAAAACCTAAGTAATTATTCTTTATTTAACTACTTACTAACCAATATAACAGTCAGCAAAAAGGTTAGTTATTTAATGCTAAGTTTAATCAGAAAAAAAAATATATTACTCAACTTTTGCAATAATATGTGAATGTCTTAACAACATCTCTGGCTGGAATAAATGTGAGTTTACAGAATACAAAAAAAATGTGACATTCCTTTTACAAAAGCCTGCTCAGTCGCGTATGACCCTCACAGTAACACGAGCGTCCCACCAATAATAATTTCCTGTCCCTCACACAATAAGCCATTCATTAGCCTTAATTTATGCTCCTTGCTCTCACCTCAACCACTGACAATTTCTACAACATAACCGTATTTTATCCAATACGTATTATTCATATCTCGGTCCCTTCAAGTTGTTGCAATGAGGTTTGAAACTAAAGTGGCAATGGAAAGCAAAGTTTACGATGCTTGCGTTTATTCGCTCAGTGGACTGTGTACGGCTTCTGTGACATGGCTGCCTATCCAATGACGTCACTATGCAACCGGACCACTCAATGGCAATGGTATGCAGTTACACGGCTGACCTTTTTATGAAAGGTAACAATAAGCTAAAATGATGAATTTTTAAAATATGCTGTGTTGTCCAAAACACATTTGCTTTGTGTTCGGTCATGCTTTTTAAACATGTCTTCCGAATATTTATTTTTAATACGAAACGGTTTTGTTATTTGTAATTCGAACACTATAAAATTGACTAAGCGTTGTGCGGCGGCGCCAATCCACGATAAGACAACTCGCATGTAATAAATATTATTAATAAAATAATGAATGATTAATTAATATTTTATACCTACCTACTCATTGTTTTAAAATAGTTAGGTAATTTTAAAGTTTAAGATAAAACAAATAGCATGATATTATAATGCATTAATTAATAATAAACAGTGAATCGTGCGAGATTAACCCATTTCTGTCATCCTACTTTGTGATACGCCATATTGAAAATTGTATTCGAGAGCCTTTTGGTAACTGCCTAGTTAATATAATAATTTCATCATCATCAACAGCCCTTAGGAAGACACAATAGGTCTCGTTTGCCTACATATTCTTGAAGCTGCTGGAAGCTCAGTACTGAATATCATGGTATTAGTTAATCAATTTATTTAAGCAGTCCACTCCTCGTTTGGTCTATAGATCTTCCCTGTTTAAGAGAGTTTCCTAACAATGTCCAGTTGGCCCACGTTTAACAAGCTGGTTGGAGATAACAGTCTAGAAGGTCCAGCAAGGCTACATTAAGATGTCAATTTGAACTCTCGAAGTGAGCTCGATCGCGGTCCACAATGAAGAAACCCAGTTGCCTCCCGCTGGTCACAGGATACAAAACT